AGTTATTGGCAAAGATGGGTCGGTCAGTTTCTTCGTAATTCAACTATTCATACTTTTTTAATGAAACTTAACATTTAGATAAAGTTCATGATCTGTAAAGTACGAACATCCTAAAATATTACAGACCTACGAAAAGTTTAATTATAAAAATCATATTATTAAATAATTATAAAAATTAATTAAATCTTGGAACTTTTAGCAGCTTTATTCCAAGCACATAATATAATTATACGTACATTCTATATGACAAGTTTGTATAATACATTAATTGGAAATCGCATTTACTATAGCGAAAACTTTATTTTCGAAATAAATGAAGTTGATAATTTTATCTAAATAGCTAAATTTTCAAAAGACCCACAATAATGTTCTTGTGTTGCTTTATGCATCAGGATTTGAAAGACTTTGGACACACAAAAATATATCAATCCATCTTAAGTATGCTTAAAATAATATTGAATTCTCGCACATAATTTGTCGTATTCGCATATAATATACTCAAAAATTAATCTGCAATTATAAAAAATAGAGAAAATGGCTTTAATATTTAATAATACAACATTTATTTAAATATTATAAACACATATATAATAACACTTTTTCTAACATCAAGAAATAATGTTAAATTTTATTTAAAAAAATATTACTAATTAAAATTTTACTAGTTGTACAATGCGCACTATAGAAAATGATATAATAACTAGAATTCACTGGTAAAAGTTTTACTGAATAAAAACAAAAAGTTTTAAAACACATAACAATATCACTTATATTAGGCCTCAAACGTTTTATCAATGTTTGTTTCATTTTGCATTTAGGTAATTACTAAAAATAATAAACACAATACTTTGATTTATTTAAACGGTGTAATCTGGAAATGTGTTTAATAAACATTTACCTTATTTTGTAATTAATTTGGTTATAAATTTACGAAAAATTCTCAGATATTATGAACATTTTCAAATAAACTAAAACAATTTGAAAATGTATGTGATGAATGTCATAAGTAAATGGCAGATACAGGTGATAATTTAATATCTTATACAAGTAACATATTTCTCTTATGTTCTAGTTCTACCGTGTTTTTATTCTGGTAAAATATTATAATTTAAATTCGAGACTAAATCAGACATCGTGGCTCACCAGTGGATGAATCGTCAGCGCTTAGCGAAGATCTATTCAGTGCGATAGTATTTTGCGCATTTTTTCACGCCTGGACGATTTTATGGTCTGCTCCAGCCTGGACAACGCGCTTTGACTTGATATAATCTCTCCATAATCTGAGCGGACACATCAGCCAGTTCTGTTTCGGTGCGTGTCAGAATGAATATATCTTAATAGAAAAAAGTACAATTAAAATACTATCAGCACATCCTTTTAAGTTAAATAAAACTTTTGATGACTTATATATAAATGATATTTTAAGTTTAAAAAAACATGCAATTAAATTTTTTGTAATTTATACTATATATCATTTAATTGCAGTTGTCTTGCAAAAATTATATGCCACACCAAAACTTAAAACTTCTTTGGTTTATCTTGTGCCAGAATATTACAGTACTAGTTTAGACTAAGGCCACATCGTCGTCATCTGATGACTATGCTGATACTGTATTCAAGGAATCACCAGACAAAGATTCTGGAAGAATCCAGGACTGGCGATATTTTCGTACGTGGCATAATGCAGCATTCCACCTGTAAAGAGTTTGTGCAAAGCAATAATGAAAAATTAAGTAAAATAATGGATATTAACAAAAAAAATCAAATGAATCATTGCTATCTTGACTATCAGAATACCATAGTTAATTTTTATCTTTAACTGTGTACTAACCTGCCTGACTTGACAAGTTCCAAAAATGCACTGCCCCCTCAACCTCTCCTGGAGTGGCGTAGTGGGAGGGGGCACAGGACTCGCTGTGGGGTGTCTTTCTCCAGCAGAAACTTTCTTCTTCACAAGATCTGCATAACGCGGTGCGATACATTTTGCACTGCTACAGACATATATGCTAACTGAAATGAGAAATATTATTTATGAATGATAACAATATTAAACTTTCAATTTCAAGGTTTAAAAGTATGAACAAAAAAGTTACCTGTGCAGCCTTAGCAGCTGTAGTAACTGCTGATAACTTTTGTTACAACTATCGATCAGCAATAAAAGTTGGAATAAAAGTTTATCTATCGCACGACCTAGCTCTGCTAATATTTCTTCATTTGATAATCTGATGGTTCTGGTGGCTCAAACACATCATTTGCAGTTTACAATTTGCTCGAACTGGCGTCAAACACTAAGTAATAATTCAACTTTAACACACTAATCCATAGATTATGATATTGAGATATAATTGACATATGCAGTGCAATATGAACTGATTCATAAAATTTTATAATTTGCACGTGCATTTTCCGAAATTCTTTTGATATTTGTGTGATATAAAATAAAATTTCTATTTATTTTAAAATAATGTTCTTACTTTCTGTGACATGATCTTTTCTATCAAAATATGTCTCTAAATGCTCCTGCACTTCCAAAACACCGAATCGCAAACTTTCAGCTAGGCGGGGACTGTTAATTCCGCCGAGAGCAAACCTGCGCGAAATTAAATACAAAATTGAAATGCATTTTGATTAAACTGAGAAAATATAATTTTAAATGCAGAGAGAGCCAGATTTAGAATATTGTAATGATGTAGCTTACTCGTATCCCCAGCACAAGGCCAAAATCAAAAACGATAATATCAGGCATTATGTAAATTAGTAATTACCATATTCGAGGTGGTTCTGCTTTATAAGAAAGCAAATCAGCTATGATATATTCGATCCCCCAAGGCTGCTCAGGTCCTATTAAATACATCAGTGCTTCGCGAGACATTGCAACACTTTTCTTTATCACATCCTAAAAAAATAATAATTGCAAAATCGTATTTACAAACATGATAATTAAATATTTCTAACTCCAAAATGAAAAGCTTCCAAAATTTTAATAAAATAAATCTTCGTAAATTAATTTGATTAGATTTAATGCTTACCAAGAGTAATTTAGAGAGCACTTTTGAATAAATCAGGAGCATGATGTGTAGATTGGTGTGTTAATAAACTCTGCATTTCTTTCTCCAGGCATCTTCAGTATCATCTCTCATAGAAGTGCGGAATGACAAGAGTGCAGAAAGGTTTGGTGATGCATTGCATGGTGTAACATCGCCGATATCTCCCAGCACTCGAACCACTAGAAATAATATATATCATTGTGATCAATTAGTAATCTATAAAGGTATCAGTAAAAATAGAAACACAAAAGTTTGGGAGACAAAGATCTAAATCATGAAATTATTACT